AGAAATCTAAGTAGTTTTTACTAAAAGGTACTATTGGTCCTGAAATGTATTTTGTACGTGCATATGCGTGTGTGCACATGTGTGAAATCGGAGGAATTGCAAGGGCTAGGCAGTGTTGCTATTTAATTTTTTTTTCCAGTTCATGAAACTTGACTCTTCAAATTCCTTTGCTAAAGAAACCTCTTTCTTTGCATCCCCCCAGTTTCTAAAACTGGTGCAATACTGCATGTTAGGAGTTACTCTGTAAATAGTTGATGACTTGATTCTGTTTGATACTTGCCTCTTTTCTATGATTAGGTGTTTTTCTGACTTACAAGTTCATTGCCTACTGCCAAGGTACAGTAGGCTAAAAATTAAATGTTTCTTCATAGCCCGGAAATATTCAGCAATGCATAGTTTATCTTTACAGTGAACATCTATTATGAATGGTTTTAATGATTTACCATCTTAGTAACATCATATAAATAAAATGAAGTAGAGATGTTAGATATATTTCCTCTGTTATAACCAACCAAACAACATTATATAAAGACAAGAGACAGGCCTTTCCATTTGCCATTTAAAACATAGATTCCTTTAACTGTAGCTTACCTTATTGTGTACTTATTCTGTGCTAGGGCTATGCATTCATCATTTCACTTAATGATCCCCCCATGAGGGATCCTTTAAAGAAAGTACTGTGTATTACTTATTCCTGTTTTGCTATTGAAAAAGTTAGTAGAACTTTCTGCACTGACGGATTTAAATGTCCTATATCTGCACTATTCATTTTGGCAGTCATTATCCCCCTGAAGTTATTACCTATTTGAAATACGACTATTCTAACTAAAGAACTAAATTTTTAATTTAATTGTAATTAAATTAAAATAGCACCGTGAGGCTAGTGGCTATTGTATTGCACAGCACAGCTCTAGAATTTTCCTAAAATGGTCTTGATCACTACACCATACCTCTCCAATTCAACTCTCCAAACCAAAGTACATAATAGGAAAATAAGTAATTAGGAAATATTAGCATTGTAAATTACACGGACTCATAGTATTAAAAGCAGTCTGATTAGCCAGGGATAGAGATGTGATCTCTGTCCCATGGAAACCTAAAAGATTCTTGCTCTCTTATACCCAGCAAAGGGGCAGCCACACAACAGTAGACATTTGTCTAAAATTCTTAATTCTGTTATCTTTTCTTTCTGTGAAATTACCCTCAATCATATTGTAGCATCATTCTCCTTTCATACCCTTAGTCCTTGAGCTCACTGATGCCCTAAGAGTAAAGGTAGGCAAGAATTCCCATTTCTCTGAGTGGTTTGGCCAGCACTCTGAATGCTTCCTGATCCTGGCTTTGTAACTGGCTGCCTATGTGTCTTTGGTTGATTACTTTGTCCATTTTGGGCCTCAAATTTTCTCATCTCAAAATAAGGGAATTGAATTAAATGTATAGGTTCCTCCTAGATGTAAAAATTCCATATATAATTTTTCTAATGACCAAGATCCTATAACTGTATGGAGATGCAGTAGTTTTTTTAGTATATTCCTGTATTATTAAAATTATATATGTAAACCCCCAAATTTCTTAAAAACAAAACAAGAAATGCTAGAAAGCTGTGCAGCTCTTCAAGTCTTTTGAATAGCTCTGTTTCCCCCTCTTTCATGCTCCTTTTGTGAATGGGTGGCTTCACTTTTCCATAGGATCCAAATCAGAAGCCTGCATTCCTTATGATCCTTCATTTGTAGCAGTGGATGGAAGTGATTTCTATACCCAAAAATCTCAGTAAATTAATTATCACATTGAAACAATATGTTTATTTAACATGTGATGGCAGTGGAAGCCTTGAAAGCAAATTACAAAATTTGAAATGTTATTTTGGAAACATAAGTTATTGTTTGTTAATATGCATATGTATAAATGATTTTGATGTTTTACCTTTATGCTCATTTTAAAAATAACAAATATTCCATTAAGTTCAACTAGTTCATTTACATGCAAAGAAATTCAGTTGACACATGTTTGAAGTAAAGTATCTATTGTGTAAAGCAATGTTTTGAACCTGTAAGTTTATCACATGATCTGTATAATTTATCTATCTCTCCCTGAAGTGCACACCACTGCTCTTCAACCTGTAACATGTGTTCGAATCACCTGTAGGGCTTTCAAAAAATGTGAAGTTCAAGTCCCACCTCAGACCTAGTGAATCAGTCTTAGGGAATGAGGCTCTGAACGCAGATGCTGAAAGGTTCCCCAAGTTATTCTTATTCATTCCAGAAGTTAAAGAACCAAACACCCTGAAAGTTCTTGACAAGAAAAGAGATGGCCTATTTATTAATTGGGCTTTTATACCAACATCAAAACTAGCCTTATAATCATATTATAAATTTCTGTTCTTTCAGAAGTTAACATTGATTAACATTTATGTTTCGATGATGGCAATTCATCACTCAAAAACATTCAACTAACTCACTGTCTTGCCATTATTAAGAATTTAATGTAAAAAATGTGATACAGAGGTGTCTGGGTGGCTTAGTCAGTTAAAGGTCAGCCATCAGCTGAGGTCATGATCCCAGGGTCCTGGGATCAAGCCATACATAGGGCTCCCTGCTCAGCGGGGAGCCTGCTTCTTCCTCTCCCCCCCCACTCATGCTCTCTCTCTCTCTCAAATAAATAAAATCTTAAAAAAATGTGATACAATATATAGGAACCCTAAGAAAGAAGTACTTGATTTCTTTACTTAATCTTGTTCTTGAAAGAATTTGTGGTTTATGAAAATTAAATGTTCTAATTTTCTTTCATTCTTAGATCAATAAAACTCTTATAATCATTTGTCAGTATTTTGACAATATAAAACTTCATTTTATTGAAAAATGTTTTAAATCTTCAAATTGTTATTCAGCAAAGTTACCATCATCTGTTATTGCTCATGTTATGTTTTCTCCTAGATTTTAAAATAATTTTTAATTTTGTTCATTTATATAAGCAACATATAATTACACATTACTCAATATATTTTTATGATAATTATCTTAAATGTAAATTTGAGTATATTATCCTGGATTTTCCAAGTCATTACACCAATAATATTCATAGTATATGACACATGCATTCTAGATAATATATATTTTGATTCTATTATTATTATTATTGACAGTTATCCTCCAAGAACATTTTTTAATGCCCATATTTGTATGTGTTAAAAATGCATTGGGCTGGGAGAATTTAGGTAGAGACACTGCTGAGAAAGAAAGCATGGGGCTCCTGGGTGGCTCAGTCAGTTAAGCGTCTGCCTTCGGCTCAAGTCATGATCATGTGGTTCTGGGATCGAGCCCCACATAGGGCTCCCTGCTCCACGGGAAGCCTGCTTCTCCCTCTCCCACTCCCCCTGTTTGTGTTCCCACTCTTTGCTGTGTCTCTCTCTGTCAAATAAATAAATAAAATCTTAAAAAAAAAAGCTTGTAATTAAAAAAAAGAAAGCATGAGAAAGGAACACCTGCTCTTAGCCACGTTAGCCTGGAGGTGATGTAGTTCATTGCCATTATAAGACCTCACCTGTCTTTGAGAGAGTCTGGGAAATGCAGCCTAGCTATATTCTCCAAAGAAAAAGAGAAAGAGTTTTAAAGGTGAACACATAGTGATCTCTGTGACAGGCCTGTCTCTGTCATGAACAAACTGTAGGACTCTTGGCAAGGCACCTAATCTCCTAGGCTTTAGTTCTCTTGACTCTAAAAGATCCAGTGACTTTTTCTTTTTTGGGAAGGTTATTAGATGTTTATATTAAGAATATTGTCTTAAGGTACAGTGAGGATTGAATCAATAAAGTATTTGTCAGAATCATAATATCCCTAAAAGTAAATGTGACAAGAATTGAGAACTAAGTTACGGGCATTGTTGGTAGTTAATTGCACAGCCAATGGATGTTGATTACAAGTGATCCTGGGGGGTGCAGGGAAGGGTGGACTTAGGACTTAGTTCCTAGTAGTAATCTTTTCATTTTTTCACCATTTCCATCAGTAAATCATAAGAAAACAGAGAACTCATACTTTTCAAATTCTAATTTGGAAATTTCAAATAATTTCTAGATACCTAGGGTAGGCCATCACATTTCTTTTATCTGTAATATAAGTTATAGGTCATCTGGGCTTTTGAAGACTGACTAGAGAATCAAATGAATAATTTATAACATTGTTTTTATGACCGTGTACAGTTGACCCTTGAACAATGCGGGAATTAGGGATACCAGATCCCACACTCAAAAATCCACATATAACTTTTGACTCCCCCAAACTTAACTAAGTAGCCTGCTCTTAACTGCAAACCTTAGAAATAACATAAACAGTCAATTAACACGTTTTGTATGTTATATGTATTATATACTATATTCTTACAACAAAGTAGGCTAGAATAAAGAAAATGTTATAAAGACTAATATGAGGAAGAAAAAATACATCTTTAATACTGCATTATGTTTATTGTAAAAAATCCGCATATTAAGTGGACCCCCAAATTCAAGCCCATGTTGGTCAAAGGTCAACTGTGTTTAATATTCCAAACAGTTATCCTGTAAATGAACTGTGGACTGTAACCCATTTTTAAGTAAAGGATGGCTTGGATTTATGTCTCTAAAATAGTTTAATTGCCTTCCTGCTCTCAAAGAATGATCTCGTATACCCTTAAATATAATGTTAAGAGATATACTATCTTGAATATAGCTTGGCTCTTTTTCAACAGAGAAATTATGTTGACCGGCAAAAAGATCTCAAAAACAGACACTGCAAAGAATATGTATAGTTATTAACTACCAGATGTCACCTTCACTCACAGTATTTACAAGACATATGATTTGAGCCATCATTGAATTTAAAAGACAAAAATGATGAATGACTACATGTTACTGTTGACTGGTAGCATTGATGACTTCTATTACATTTAAAGGTTTTTAAAGGACTTATAGAAAAGATCTTTTCAATGTGATAGTAATATTTCAAAAGGTGTGTTCTCTTTCTTGTCAGGACTTCCAACAGTAGTCAGACGTTATCATCCTGCCATACTATGGAGCCATGTTCATCAGATGAATTTTTCCAAGCCCTTAATCATGCTGAGCAAACATTTAAAAAGATGGAAAACTATTTAAGACACAAACAGTTATGTGATGTAATTCTAGTTGCTGGTGATCGCAGAATTCCAGCTCATAGGTAATTGTTTTCTAAATATTATGAGAAGTATTTCCTTACTAATCTGTTATATATGTTGAGATAATTTGTTCCAACTAACTATTCCATATGCTTTTGGGAAGGGGTATCTTTCATGGGATTTCTGCAAAGAAAACAGTGCATGTGAAATTATTATACATTAAATGACTTCAAAAGGGTCACTTTCCCTCTGCAGAAACACAAAAACAAAACATACTAGCCTCAGATCAGTCAGTATTGTTTGGCAAAGATTTCAGCTACTACGAGCAGCTTTTCTCCTAAATTCTACCTATTAAATAAGTAAACTCGATGGAAGTTAGAGCTTTGAGTATTTAAAAGCAAAAAAGCTAGTGGAATGAAATGGCAAAAACGGAAGAGTCTTAAAATAGCGACACCTATCCCAACTTCTATTTGCTGACCTCCAAGAAATAGGAAAAGCAGTGATGTCAGGGAACAAAAACCTTTAACACAAATGAAGTACTATTTTTTGAAATAAGAAAAGAGAGATGTTTAATAAAGAACAATTCATTGTTTCCTTTGATAATTCTGTATTCAGTTCTGTGTTAATCACTATTATGACCCCAAAAGGTTTTTTTTTTTTTAATGCTTTTAAAAACTAATTAACACTCTGTCCCAAAGGTTTTCTTAAACGTTCCAAAGTGGAAGTGAAATCATTGGGAAAAATGGGCTTGGTCTTAGTTTCCAATGATCCAATGGGCATACATTTATTGAGATGCTGCTAGAATCTGTGACAAAAAGTCCGTGTTATGAGCATGGGTTTACTGGAAAAGATACCTCAACCTGCATGTCACAGAGACGTCTGAAATTCTGTTTTTCCAGAACAGAGCTCGTTACCTTCCTTCCCACTTAGGTGTAAACTCACCGTCTCCCTCAGTGCCAGAAACTGCCAACTGGTCTCCCTGCTTTCACTCTTTCCCCCTACATTCTGTTTGCTGCACAGCTACCTGAGTGATCCTTTAAAATAGAACTCAGATCCAGTCACTCCTGTGATCTAACTTTTCAGTGACTCCTCATGTCATGGATTATGAAAGCCCAGTGGGCCGTGTGATGGCCATTGCCGTCTGATGTTCTGTCCTTGATCGCTCTGCTTGAGCCACTCAGCCCGCATGGTCCTTGTACGTGCCAGACATGCTGCTCCTGCCTTTGAGTTTTTGCGTTGGCTGTTCCTTCTGCCCGAATGCTATTCCCAGATACCTGTATGACTAATTCCTGCATCTCCTTCAAGTCTTTGCCCAAACGCCACTTTCCAGTCAGACCACTTACTTAAACCCCCTGCCTGTTCCTCATTTGCCCTTATCCTACTTTTTTCCCTTAGGACTTCCCATTCTTTAATGTGCTCTAGAATTTACTTGTGCTGTTTATTATTCACCTCCCTCCCCTCTAGAATGTAAAACTCCCTTAGAGAAGGGATCTTTTGTCTCTTCTTTATACTGATGATAGCTCAAGTACCTTGAAGAGTGCCCTGTCCTTATTAGGTGTGAATGTCTTTAATGAGTAAATGAATAAATGGGCAATTCTCAGAAGAAACCTGAATGACCAATAACCATTTAAAAAGATCTTCAGTCTCGCTAGCAATCAGGGGAATGAAAATTAAAACAACAATGAGATGCCATTTAACACCTTGCAGATGGCCAAAAATTTTAACATCTGACAATGTTGTGGGAAAATGTTCTCTCTCATACAGTGTTAGTGGGAGTCTAAATTGGCACAGCACTTTGGAGAGCAGCCTGGCAAACCTAGGACTCGGCAGTGTGCTCCTGAGGAGCGGGGAGGATGGAAGTAGAGAGGAACACAGAGGGAGCTTCACTGGTTATCGGTTTCTAGTTCTTTAAATAAATAAATAAATAAATAAATAAATAAATAAATAAAGTCAATCTATATAAATGTGCTGACATGGAAAGATCTCCAAGACGTCAAATAAAAAAAAATGCACATTTCAAAATATATATTTATAACCTATTTTTTTTCATATCCGGCTATCAAAAATCTGGTCAGAGATGTACCTAATATGTAATAATGTACTATTATAAAAATAGTTTTGTGGTGTTAAAACAAAAATATTATCATTTGGTAATAAAATGTGAACAGTATAATAATAATAAATCACAAAAGTTAAAAACAACCTGCTAAAACCATTCTCAAATTTCTCCCATATATCTACTACTACTACAATTAAATTAAAAGAAAAAAAACACTTAGGTTAAAGTGATAAACAGAAAGTAACGTTTATATTTTTTTTTCCCTTTTTTTATATAGTCAGTTTAATGCTGTGGGCTTTAGCTTTTTGTCTGGATGTTATAAAGTGATACTTGAGTAATGAATGGGTAAATCATTTACCTCAGCAGAAAATTTTCAGTAATGGTAATTTATTATTCCAAGGAAAGAACTAGAGCATAAAGCAATTTGTCAAACTTAAAATGCATTTCCCGGTACCACCACGTACTTTTTGTGGGTAACAAATTAAAAAAAAAAGGGGGAGAGAAGAGAGAGAAGCAGCATTTGTTAATGAACATCAACCTTAAGGCGGTCACTGATTTTTTTTTTCTTCTGATATGTTCTCAGGTTGGTGCTCTCCTCGGTCTCAGATTATTTTGCTGCCATGTTTACTAATGATGTCAGGGAAGCAAGACAAGAAGAAATAAAAATGGAAGGTGTTGAACCAAATTCACTATGGTCCTTGATTCAGTACGCATATACAGGTAATAAATCTGAAAATGTAAATCTAAAACCTCTTAAAATTATGGTGCATTATGAGATTTCAGATTTCTGCTTTTAGGAAGGCCTGCCACAGCTAACAGTGAATTCTCCTATTGGAATCACCACCGCTGGTGATACCTTTATAAAAGGTTAAAATCTTTATATTAGAATCTTTAAAATGGTGGTCATAATTAAGCCTATGATTGGTATTTTTAAATGTTAGTATAATAATTAGATGAATTATATAATGTTTTTAAGTTACTGCATTTAAAATTTGAACATTATATTTAATAGATATGCTACTTAATTAAAGCATCATTTAAAAATTCTGAACAGAAGCCATTCATTTTTTATTTTAATAAAAGTCACAAAGAGCTAATAAGGTTTTTTCATAGTCAGTACTTTTTTTTCTCTTTGGACTGTCTAAAACCATCTAAGAATTCATATACAGAGCTCTTGTTGAGAATTATTACTGTTAACACTGTTTTATAAATTAAAGTTAGTATAGTTCTATGGTTAATGGAATTTCTTTTTATCATTAAGGCCGCCTTGAATTAAAAGAAGATAATATTGAGTGCCTGCTGTCTACAGCTTGCCTCCTTCAGCTTTCACAGGTTGTGGAAGCTTGCTGTAAGTTTTTAATGAAACAGCTTCACCCATCCAACTGCCTTGGAATCCGTTCTTTTGCTGATGCCCAGGGTTGTACAGATTTGCATAAAGTGGCTCACAATTATACCATGGTATGTATTTTCTGAGAAGCAGAAAGGCATATGCTCTTTACCTCATTCCTTCTTGTTGCAGGCTTATCTCCATGGTGCTGTTTTCCCCTGGCTCTGCCACATGTCCTGAGGTTCAGGTTCACTGTCTGCTGCATGATATTTTCATTGAGTTATAAGGGGAAAACACCAAGTAATATTTCTCCTGGATCTATGAGTCAAGCCTGAAGTTATTACAGTCACTAAGAAGCAGAGCAGTGGCCTAGGACTGTTCTAGTCAAGAGTTTCAGATCTGCTGCTTTTTAAAGCAGGATTTCCCCGGCATTTTCCTTTGTAGCACTTGGATGAATTTTCATGGATGTAAATTGGTGACCATGATTGGGGGGTATTGGTGCAGTACAGACGATAGGATGAAAGGGAGGCTTTTTATTAAAGGTAAATCTGATTATATGTAAGAAGCGTTTTTAGCTGTGTAGAAAGATCTTCTTATGAATTGTAGCAAATTATGTGCTCAAAATAAATCGCAGAGGAGGTTCTCATTCAGACACCGGAGGATAATGGATACAGACTGATCTAGGACAGCAAGAAAAGAAGGGCATGTTGAAGGCGTTTTGTTAGGACCAGGTGCCCCCAGTCTTCATAGTACAGGCATTTGGGGAAGGGAGGATATGTGGATTTTTAAGGAATGACCATCTTGTCACACTGTGGCAGTTAGGTCTTCACAGCTGGGGAGATTGAAGACTGTTACTTTGTATCCTGCAATTTGGGCAGTACAGCTCCTAAGAGAAGAAAGAATGTGAACATTCACACACACTTTCGCTAGTTATCCATGTTACTGAGTTTATCAACATGAAGATGTTTTTGTCTACCTTCTCCTCCATCCTTCCACTGAGTTGGTTTGTCTGTGAAGGGATTGACAAATACTTTGGAATCTTTCACTACAGAAATAGAGATTTTGGAGCAATGATAAGAACAGAGGTTTACAGCTATTGGGAAGAATAATTCTACCTACTTCATAAGCTCGGTATGAAGATTAAATGAGTTAATAGGAGTGTAGCGCTGAAAATAGTGATTGACACATAGTATACCCAGTCAATAAATGACATCCTCATCATCGTCACCATCATTGTACCATCACTGTCACCATCATTGCTCTGTTCAACACATTAGGGATTGATGTGAGTGAACAAAAGCACTCAGACAAAAGTCCAACCTTTATGATTTGTATTCGCCCCTGTGGTATCATCACTTCTCGGAATGTTTCTTGTTTATAACAGTCACGGAGATTGTGTGACAAGGCAGTACTATACAGACCTGGCATCTTCTAAATTAAGTCCCATGGAAGATTTTTCCCCACCTCCATCTTTATCTTTCCCTTGCAGATTTCTCATTTAACCTTGAACCTCAGGTTCATATAATTTGGGGAGTAAGACAACTATCAATAAAATAAAACAGGGGTTTCTTTTCTTCATAATCAGTTCATCATTTAAGTAATATCTCTTTCCTAGGAAGGAGTTTGATTCACATGAAAACATTTGTATGCATTTAGGTCACTCCTGTTGTTTATAATAGAGGTACAGTGGCTGCTAAGACATAATGGCTTAGACATATATTAAATTTAAATTGGCTCTTTTTTTTTAATTAAAGTTGGCGTGCAGTGTTATTTTAGTTTCAGGTGTACAACATAGTGACTCAACAATTCTATACATTATGCGGTGCTTACCATGAGAAGTGTAGTTACTTTCTGTCACCATACGGAGTTATTACAATATTATTGATTCAGCTCAATGTTTTTAAAAGTATTTTCACAGCCAATTAGTTGGGTAGTTTTTTTTTTTCCTCAGGGCTATTATTTGACATTATTCAGTTTCAACAGAGAGGTGAAATTTAATTCTAATAACAATAAGTCATTTAGAGGCAGATTGTCTGATTTCAATTGTTGCTATGGGAACTCAATGAACATGTATAGCAAAATTCAGTCTTCACTTTAAATAAATCCCTCAGTGATTTCATTTGCTTGGAAACTAATTCCAAATGGAGAAAGGGCATAATGCTAGCAAGTATTTGGTAGCATGATAGCTATTTATATCACAAAATAGATTTTTTTAAAGTTTTTATTTTGATGCCAGTTAGTTTCAGGTGTATAGTATAGTGATTCAACAATTCCATATGTTACCCGGTGCTCCTCACAACAACACAAAATAGATTTAAAATCCGAAGTAAGCATAATGCCACATAGTCAATTCAGTTGTCCCAATCAGTAAAGGGTGCACGTACTTGGAATGTTCACTCATCCTCTATGAATACAGGTAGGAAAGCATGAGGAGTTCCTTCTTGTAATCTGGAAACTTGTTGTCACTCTGACTGCCACGGAATGTGACCTGGCACGAGTCCTTTAACCTCTGCCAAAAAGTCTAACTAGTGCTGGGTGGATCATTACAAATATTTAATGGCATTATGGATTTGTGAAATAAATATAAGCATTTAATTTTAAATTTTTGAATTTTGTTTCTCGACCTAGAAAAAACACTGAATTCTGCTAAAATACCCACTGTAAAACCAAATACTTTTGAAAAGCACTTTGTGTTTAACCTTGTGTTCAGTAGTCTTTCCAAAAGTTGTTGAGAGATTCAATTTTCACTTAAAATGAATTGTACTAGAATGGAATGGGCATGGTTCTGAAATAGAAAATCAACCAATCAATAATAATATATATATATATAGTAGTCCTTTTCTACTTGATGAATTCATACCATTGCATTGGTAATGCCGTTAATACCATTTGAAAGTAAGGCAATAGTTATTTTATCGGTATGGTGTAAATGTTGATTATACTATACACTACCTTTGAGCAATTAGAAATATGTATTATTTTGATTTCTTAGAATCTTACCTAACATTATGTAATAAATGTATTTCCATGTATCTATGTGATTTTTGTTTTTGAAATTTTTAATCCCTGCTTAATAGCCCATTGAGTTACAACCCCCTATAGCTGGACCTTTAGGCTAATTCCCATTTTGTACTATTATAAATAATAATATAGAGAAGGATCATTAGAGAAGCATCAGCTTTTTTTTCCTCTTGTGAATTATTTATTAAGGATTAAACTGCTAGTAGGATAACTGGGTTGAGAGCTTCAGCATTTTTATAGCTCTTGCAATGTGTTACCAGATCGTTTTATAATGTCAGTATACAATTGAGTAGAACAGTTTGCTTGAAGCCAACATTGAGGTTTTATTAAAATATATTTCTGAAAATGATAATCAGTCATTTAAAATAGATACATTTGGGCATCTTTAAACAAATCATGATGAAATGAAGCAATTGAATTTAGTTAATTATTCATGTATGGTTTCCTGTTAAGAATTTCTAAGAAAGGAATGTCAACCCAAGATATATTTTAGATCAGTACCTAATTTGGGTTACTGCAAGCTATAGGGAACATATAATTTTCGTTTTAGTATATGTGCTGCCGAAGCGAGCACATAATTTTCATTTTAATGTAGAAGATAGTTGCTGGTAATCCTTATCTCTAGCTCTAATTTAAATGGCCCTTCCTATTTCACTTAAACCGTGTATGCTGAGACAGCCACAACACAGTAGGAAGTATAAGAATAACATTAAGGGACAATATGCGTAGCATTTGCATTTATATTATGGCTAAGTAAACAATCCATGCATTAAGACTTGTAACCTTGCAAACCAGATAGTAAGTTTCCCATCTCTTCGGACAGTTTAGCATAATATCCTAGCAAAGATCATTATCTCACAGCTGAAGTCATTTCTGTCTCCCATTTCAAGTGATAAGGAGCCTGATTCTAGTATGAGCCTGCCACTGAATTATCTTCAGTACAAGGTCTTGGAGTCCCAGTGCATTCATTCTATGTCAGTGCTTTTGCTTTGGCTCTTTTTCTTTGAGACCCAAAGAACTTCATACATATATCAGATTTGAAGTTTTTTTCTTCTTTTTTTAATTATGTTGTGTTAATCACCATACGTTACATCATTAGTTTTTGATGTAATGTTCCATGATTCATTGTTTGTGTATAACACCCAGTGCTCCATGCAGTACGTGCCCTCCTTAATACCCATCACCAGGCTAACCCATTCGAAGTTTTTAAAACAGACCTAAAATCCTGGGTGGTCTTATGAATTACATTAAAACACTCTTGAAGGCCAATCAGAGCCAGGATAGCCATAAGGATGTATAGTCTTCCCTGAGCAGTCTGAGAAGACTTCTGCAGTACAGAAGTCTTCGGAAATCCAGCCAGCCTGACTGACAGCCATTTCTGGGTAAGAGAAATAATTTCACAGCTCACCCAGGTATCTGGCTGCACTGTAAGCTATAGTCTTCAGCAACCACAAATGTAACCTAACTTGGATGTTAGACTATCCTACATCTCAGAGTCTAATTCATTTTTTCTACCCTCTACCTCTTGAAAGACTTGCCAAAACTATTCCCTAACTTGAGTAAAGCAAAATCTAAAAATCCCAGGTCCATTTTTAAAGTGTACCAAATGGTAGAGGCACCTGGGTGGCTCAGTTAAGCAGCTGGTTTCTCAATTTCAGCTCAGATTATGATCTCAGGGTCCTGGTATCGAGCCCCACATCAGGCTCTGTGCTCAACAGGGAGTCCGCTTGAGGATTTCTCTCTCTCTCCCTCTGCCTCTCGCCCCACCCCCACTCACATGTTCTCTCTCTCTCTCAAATAAACAAATCTCTTAAAAAAATAAAATGTACCAAATGGTAAAATTTAATTCTACTGATACGGAGACTTACAGTGTCACAACATAATGGCAGTTTAAATGTTATTTTATACTGTGCTTCTTTCCTAATAAACAGTAATACTATGGTAAGGAAGGTCTCAAGTATAAACTGTGTTTTGGCATCTAATTCAAATGTGTTTATTTTCTCTTAAATGAAATGATGCGCAGAAGGAACAATATTGTTGATGTGCTGTTTTTTCCCCTCTAGGAACATTTCATGGAAGTAATTCGAAACCAGGAGTTTGTATTATTACCAGCCAGTGAAATCGCAAAGCTCTTGGCAAGTGATGACATGAACATTCCTAACGAGGAGACAATACTGAATGCACTTCTTACTTGGGTCCGTCATGATTTAGAACAGAGACGGAAAGATCTCAGTAAACTTTTGGCTTATATTAGGCTACCTCTTCTTGCACCACAGGTAAACTGTTTTTGATTATTTAAAATCAGTATCCTAATTTCAACAACATTTGGGTATTGATTTTATGCTAATCATGTTAATATGTACGTGACTATAGGTTTTTTCCTTTGGCTCTTCTATCCAGTAAGGTTATCTTACATATTTGATGAAATGTGTAGGTGAAAACATATTTAGCTAAAAAAAATTTGCTTGTGTTTTCGACCCAGAAGTTCTCACTACCTAAATTGCATTAATTAAATAACATTGTTGCTTAGGGGTTAATAATTTTATTTGACTCAGTTTACAAACCTATTCTAGCAATTGAAGAATTAGTAAAGCGGCAGATGAAAGTAGCAGTGAATATCAGGAGCCAGAAATTTAGATTAATTCATTTGCTTCGTGTTTATTAAGTATCCACTAAATGCTGGATTCTGCTTATATATAAACTGAGGCATGGTAAGAGTTCCCTCTCCGACATCTTAAAACTCTGTGTCTTGGCATATTCACACACCCCAGTCTCTTAATCTATCAGGTGGAGATGACATCCTCTTTGACTATCTCACAGGATTATTATAAAGATGAGAAAAGTGCTCTGTAACATCAAATGTGCTACAAATAATCATGGTAGGATTATCAGCATTCTTTTAGAATTGAGAGCTATCTAGTTAGTGTATTCAAGGCAATCAGTCCGAACACATTTGCATGTGTAGTCTCCCCTTTGTACACTTCTAACTGGGATGTATAGCAGTTCCTCCTTATCTGCGGTTTTGCCTTCCACGGTGTCAGTTACTCGCGGTCAGCTGTGGTCAGGAAGCACATGGTCCTCCTGATCTCTTGTCGGAAGGGCAGCAGTATCCTTCCACACATCACAGGGCCTGCGTCACTCACCTCACTTCATCTCATCACGTAGGCATCTTATTATCTCATCATCACAAGAGGAAGGAAAGCGCGAGAAAGACCACATTCACATAACTTTTATTACAGTTTAATTGTCCTATGTTATTAGTCGCTGTTCTCGTACTGTGCCTAACTTTTAAATTAAACTTGATCATAGGTATGTATGTATAGAAAAAAATAATATATATAGGGTTTGGTACTATTTGCGGTTTCAGGCATCCAGTGGAGGGTCTTGGAACATATCCCCCATGGTTAAGGGAGACTTAATGTACAATAATTTCCTCTGCTGCTTAGCTGGAAGGCTTGAATAGAGAAAGAGGCCTTGAAAGTGAAGAAAGAATGAGCTGTGACTGCTCGAGGGCAGATATTTGTTGTTCAAGTGCCATAAATTTTATCTTATTTGTATTTATCTTGAGCATTATGTATTATTTCCAGTGGTTGTTAGCAGAAGTTATTGTTTGCTCTCAACCTTATAGAGACAAGAAGTAGTGCTGATGCTTTATAAGAAAGACGTCCTCTTCAGAGGTGGCATGTTATGTGAATTCATAGACATGAAACTGCATGAATTGATGACAATTCAGGAAAAATAATGTTGTAAAACGTTTCCCTTGAAATCAGATTTAAAGAAGAGAGTTACATTTTACTGGTACTTCGCAGAAGTTTTTTTCTTATCCTTTTCTAGGTTAAAGAAAATAAAATCTGAAAAATCCTAGTAGACTTTGAAAAGAATCTGTGCGATTAATAACCTGACAATTGACTTCAGTCCTGCAGTTTCAAATATTTATGATACTATGTTTGCATGATTCCAAGAGATGTTTAACACTTCTGTTATCCAGGATACTGCTGATAATCATAACCATAAGATCTTAGAGTTGAAAGGCAATCATTTAGCCTAACACCTATTGTACAAATGAAGTAACAGACCAAAAAAGGAAAACCATATGCTCAAGATCATAAAACGATTGCATAAATTTCTGTCCTTCTACATTGTAGTTTTATTTGCCTTTGCTACTTGGCTAACATCATGGAGCTAATGAGAGACAGAGGGAGAACTTGAACCCAATTTAAGTTCTGTGCCTTTTTCACTGAACCAGTCAGCCTCTTGAACATTCTATCTGTAAAACTGCTGGGTCAGGGGAGGTATATCAAGTGGAGGAAGAAATAGATTAAAAAATAAATTTGTAAGTAAGTAAATAAATAAATAAATAAAATTTGTGACTACAATATAATGAGAGGAAGTCAATGACAGGTATATGAACATGGCATTATGAAAGTAACTGGAGTAGCCTGCCCGGGCTGATGGTGGGGAAGCTGGGAGAACTTTCTCAAGTGTCACTCAGTCTACATCCTGGGTAGCTACCCCGCAAAGGGGGCATGATGGCCCAGGGGAGATAGGAGATTATACCTAGTTATGGTGTCATGAGCAATGTGTCATGCTCTGGAATTTGAAGAGAGCTCGCATGGCTCGAGTGCAGACATAAAAGGGCAGTATGGAGAGACAAAGAATCTCTAGTGATGCCAGGGAGTTTGCATTTTATCCCCAAAGCAGTGAGGAAGTACTAAAGAATTTTAAGCAGGGCATGGCATAATTATCATTTTATTTAGGAAGATCTCTAACTGCCTTGTGGAGATTGGATTGGAGCGATCGAAGTAGAAATCCATTAGGAAGACTGTTGGATTCAGACAAGTGAATTAGGTGATCTCGGGCAGTGCAGGTAGAGAAATTACCGGGCTCAAGAGCTATTTAGGAAGTAGAACTGATACAACCTAATGACCGATTGAAAGGTGTGGGGTACCAAAGAAAGAGGGATCCAGAATGATTCTGATTTGTGCAATGAGATTAAGGAAGGTGCTGTCCGTTAAAGCAAAGAATACAGGAGGAAGAGCTGATTTCAAGGTGGGAAGAAAATGAAAGAATCATGTTCCCAGAGCTTCTTGGTACCTTTAATCCTCTTGGAGCCTAGGAAGAAGTTTTGAAAATTTCTTATTTAGGTTGTCACAGCCAAAACGAAGAGAATGACTTGGCCAAAGAGAACACAAGGGCACTAGGGGTGGAACCCTCGGAAATAGTAGTATTTAGTGGTAGTTCCTGAACCTGCCTAAATAACTCAAGTGGCTCTTAAAAAGAGATTCCATGTTGAGGTGGAGGAAATTTTAACAGCATTGGATATTACAGAGGAGACAGTTAAGGACAGAAGATCCACTGGATTAGCCCATTTATTCTCAAAGTGTGGCCGCCAGCTCTAGGATCAGCACTGCCTGGGAAGTTGTTTAAAATGCAAATTATTGGCCCCATTCTACAGCTACAGGATCTGAGACTCTGGTGGTGGGGCCCAGCAGATTGTGCTTTCATATGCCTGCAAGTGGATTTGAAGCACACTCAAGTTTGGGAACCAGCATCTTAGCAGATGAGTAGTGGTGACTGATGGAAACCGCATTGCCCTGTATGATTCAAAGAAGTTACTTCACCTCTCTGAGCCATGTTTTTTTTTCCTGCAAAGATAATACCATGTTGCATTATTGTGACGCTTAGAGATACTAGTAGGGGTGTTTTGTTTTTTTTCTTTCCTTGTTAAAAGTGAAAGGCAAGGTTGCAAAATGATAGTTATCAAGTGATGAAGTTTGGAAGTAGACTCTAAAATCATCAAGAAAATGTTGGATTGTATTCTGTACATTTTATTGTAAAAGGTAGGAAAATATGACAATTATTTAAATTGTCCAGAGTGTCAAATAATAACAAATGACTAACATTAAATGGCCGTCAGGTCCAGTTACCTAAAGAATGTACTTTTGTAAATAGATGAAGGGGATTAAGAATACACTTATTATGAAGAGCACTGAGTATGTATAGAGGTGTCAGATCACTATATTGTACACCTGAAACTAACATAACACTGTATGTTAACTATACTGGAATTAAAACAAAATAAATAAAATTTTAAAAAACAATAAATAAAATTTTTAGAAAGAATCCACTTTTGTACAATAGTTCCTTCCTCAGTGAACTTTTACCCTACTCTGTTAATATGAAACACTATTCAGTCTAGCTAGAAGAGATGCAATTTACATATGTAGTAATTTTGTTATAGTGTATAGTGTAGTGTAGATCCTTAAAATGACCTGAGGAATAATATACATAATTATAATCCTCTACCAACTGATCATTTAGTGTGGTTGGTTGTGGTGACTTTTTTTTAAACTCTGAATAATCCCTCTGACCCCCTTCCCTCTCGTGCTCTCATTCTCTCTCTCTCAAATAAATAAAATCTTAAAAAAAAAAAACTCTGAATAATCCAGAGGATGCATGTTTGTGGTTTTTTGTTTTACCTTTGAATGCATTATAAGCTTTTCCGTTTGATCAAATTTTAAACAATGTGAATAGGAATACTAAGACAGATGTACATTATTTAAAATATTTTGACACCTAAATTCTTAAAGGTCCCAATGGTTAGGTTAGCTTGTATTATAAGTATCTCGGTCTTCACTCTTCTCTTCTCAATTTTCATTACTGTTTTCTACTGAAAATCAAAAATATAAAATGAGCCAGTATTTACCTTTACCGTTCTTTGAATTTATGTGTTTTTGATACCAAAACATTTTTAAAGTCTATAGAATTCAGAAATCATTCACCTTCTATTTTTTTACTTTAAGTAGTATTGGAGGAGGCAGTTTTAGAGAAATAGTCATATGGAGATCAAGTATGTGAGTGAAGATAAAAATGTACACATTGAAAATGTTTCGTCTTTTTTCTAAATGCCTTCATTTAAGTAATTTGTCATTGTCTAATGGCAGAGAAGGCACATAGTGTACATCTAAAATGCAGAGTATTCAAGAGTTTGTAATTTTTAGTTCTCTTTCATTGCCTTCTGAATGATTTTTCAAGTGATTTCTGGTACTTTCCATTTGATTAATCTGATTTCTATTACTCTCATCTCTCAACTTAAATATGATTAATCTCATTTATTCATAACGTATAGAGACTCTTAGCATGTTTAAGAATATCTTTTACTTCAGGGCACCTGTGTGGCTCAGTCAGTTAAGCGTCTGCCTTCAGTTCAGGTCATGATCCCAGGGTCCTGGGATTGAGCCCCGCATGGGGTTCCCTGCTCAGTGGGCAGTGGGGGGGGGAGTCTGCTTCTCCCTCTGCTCCTCCTCCCACTCGTTCTCTCAATCTCTGTCTCTCTCTCAAATAAAATCTTAAAAGAAAGAATGTATTTTACTTCAAATTGCAGTAACTATTAAGTCTCCCAAGACTTTACTTTCTATAATTTTTCACATTTATTTCTATTTACAAAGGACTAAAGTAATTATATGTAATATAAACATTAAGATCAATCTGAATGAGCCAGCTCGGTGCATATTCGGTAATGGTTTCTGTAGCAAGTATAACGATTTTGTGTGCATAGAAAAAATATGGAATAATTAATACCATAATTTATACTCTGGCATAGGTCCTAAGACTTATGTCTTAATTTGGCTTTTTTGCTGTTAGCATGCTGTTCTCAGTTTCCAAATGCCACAAACTTTTTTTATAGTGACTTTTGTTAGAAACTCTTCCATTATTAAAATATGAACATATTCTCAACATTATTACTCATTTGCATTTGCAAAGTAAAACTGCATTCCCCACCCATTCAAATGGCTAAAATAAAAGGAGGTAGTAACAATTGTTAGGGAGAACGTGGAGGAACAAGAACCCTCATATATTGCTGGTGGTAACACAAAATGATGCAGCTACTTGGAAAACAGTTTGGCAGTTTCTTAAAAAGTTAACATGTATTTACCATATGACCCAGCAATTCTATTTCTAGGTATCTACCCAAGAGAAATGAAAACATTTATTGGCATAAAGACCTGCATGCAAATGTTCTTAGCAGCTTTATTTGTAATAGCCAAAAACTGGAAATAATCTGTATCTATCAACTGTGAACAGATAGACACATCCATAAACGGAATATTATTTAGCAATAAAAAGAAATGAAGTAGTAAGGAACCCTCATGCACTGTTTGAGGGAATATAAATTGGCATAGCCACTGTGGAAAACAGTATGGAGGTTCTTCAGAACATTAAAAATAGAAATACCATATGATCTAATAATTCCACTGCTGGATATTTACCCAAAGATAACAACACTTATTCAAAAAGATACATACCCCCCTGTGTTTATTGCAGCATTACTTAGAATAGCTGAGGTAAGGATGCAACCTGTGTGTCCATCAGTAGATGAGTGGATAAAGAATATGTGGTACACACACACACACACACACACACACAGGAAGATTATTCAGCCATAAAAATGGATGAGATCTAGAGGGGAGGGGGGTGGGGGGATGGGTTAGCCTGGTGATGGGTATTAAAGCGGGCACGTTCTGCGTGGAGCACTGGGTGTTATACGCAAACAATGAATCATGGAACACTACACCAAAAACTAATGATGTAATGTATGGTGATTAACATAACATAATAATAATTTAAAAAAATGGATGAGATCTTGTCATTTGTGCCAACACGGATAGGCCTAGAAGGTATTATGCTAACAGAGAAAGACAAATACCATTGATTTAACTTATATGTGGAATCTAAAAACAAACCAAACAAAAAGAAACAGAGCCATAAATACAGAGAACAAACAGATGGTTGCTAGAACAGTGGGTGGGGGATCGGCAAAATGGGTGAAGAGGAGTGAGAGAGATAGGCTTCCAGTATGGAGTAAGTAAGTCATGGCTATAAAAGCTATAACATAGGGAATATAGTGAATGGTATTGTAATAGTGTTGTACAGTGACAGATGGTGTGCATGCACTTGAGGTGAGCATAGCATGATATATGGAGTTGGTGAATCACTATGTTGTGCACCTGAAACTAATGTAACCTTGTGTGCCAGCTACAATAAAAAGCTGCTTTGGGCGCCTGGGTGGCTCAGTCGGTTAAGCATCTGCCTTCAACTCGGGTTGTGATCCCGGGGTCCTGGGATCGAGTCCCGTGTCGGGCTCCCTGCTGAGTGGGGAGTCTGCTTCTCCCTCTGCCTGCCACTTGCCCTCTCTGACAAGTAAATAAATGAAATCTTTGGGAAAAAAAAATAGAATACCTGCATTTTAAAAAAAAATTAAAAAAATGTTTTAATAAAAGAAATGATATACTGATACATGCTATACATGGATGAACCTCAAAAACACACTAAAGGAAAAAAGCAACACACAAGAGACCACATTTTATATGACTTTATATGAAACATCAAAAGAAAAAGGCAAATCTATAGAGACAGATAAGCACATGGGACAGGAGATGGGAACAGAGATTAAACAGCAAACCGCACCTGAGATCCAGGGTGATGAAAATGTTCCAAAACTGTCTATGGTAATGGTTGCACAACTTGGCAAATTTGCTAAAAACCACTGAATTGTATACTTCAAATGGTGAATTATATGATATCTAAAATATACCTTATATTATCCCTCCCTTCCCCTATGATCCTCTGTCTTGTTTCTTAAATTCTACATATGAGCGAGATCATATGATAATTGTCTTTCTCTGATGACTTATTTCACTTAGCATAATACCCTCTAGTTCCACCCATATTGTGGCAAATGGCAAGATTTCATTTTTTTTTGATGACTTGAGTAATATTCCATTGTATGTATATACCACATCTTCTTTATCCATTCATCTGTTGATGGACATCTGGGCTCTTTACATAGTTTGGCTATTGTGGACATTGCTACTATAAACATTGGGGTGCAGGTGCCCCTTTGGGTCACTACATTTGTATCTTTGGGGTAAATACTAGTAGTGCAATTGCTGGGTCATAGGGTAGCTCTATTTTCAACTTTTTGAGGAACCTCCATACTGTTTTCCAGAATGGCTGCACCAGCTTGCATTCTCACCAACAGTGTAGGAGGGTTCCCCTTTCTCTGCATCTTTGCCATCATCTGTTGTTTCCTGACTTGTTAATTTTAGCCATTCTGACCAGTGTGAGGTGGTATCTTATTGTGGTTTTGATTTGTACTTCCCTCATACCAAGTGGTGTTGAGCATTTTTTCATGTGTCTGTTGGCCATTTGGATGTCTTCTTTGGAGAAATGTCTGTTCGTGTCTTCTGCCCATTTCTTGATTGGATTATTTGTTCTTTGGGTGTTGAGTTTGATAAGTTCTTTATAGATTTTGGATACTAGCCCTTTATCTGGTAAGACAAGAAAATCATTTTTTAAAAGGCAGGATGAAACCATATCTATACTTTTGCATAAAATTATATAAATTTTAAAAATCAGATTCAATGAAGCACAAGAGATTTAAATTCTTTCAGGATAATCATCATTTAGAATTCTTTGCCCCTTAAGAAACTGGTAAGTTTTTGCTGTTGTTGTTTTTTATTTTTTAGAGGTGGGGAGGGGCAGGCGGAAAGGGGGAGAGAGAATCTCAAGCAGGCTCCCCGCCCAGCACAGAGCCCATCTCAAAGCTTGATCTCATGACTGTTGTGATCATGACCTGAGCCAAAAATCAAGAGTCAGATGCTTAACCACTGAGTCACCCAGGCACCCCTGCTGTTGTTCTTTGAGCTCTGTTTAGATAGGTCAGGTAAATGTAGTCTAATTAGTCAACTTCTATTTATAATTACTCTTCTTCAGTTAAAATCATTTCTAATTTAAAAAGTAACAATGACTTATTTTAGAAAATCTAGACAATATAGAAAAGCAGTAAAAAAGATTATTTAAGAAGTACCATTTCTCTACTTCCCAGAGATAAGCGCTATTTCAGGTTTCAGAGTATACCACTGATCCTCTTCAGTTTATATTTTTCAATGAAATTTAAAATGTAAATCTTGTAAATATTGCATATTTTAGTTAAAAATAGGTGTCCAGACTTGGATTTTTTTTTCTAAATGAGATGCTTTCCATTTGTAAACTATATATTCTTTTAATTACTATTTTCTTGCTCATTCAGCATACATACTCACTATTCTTTTCTAGTTCCTGGCAGACATGGAAAATAATGTACTTTTTCGGGATGATATAGAATGTCAGAAACTTATTATGGAAGCAATGAAGTACCATTTATTACCGGAGAGACGACCCATGTTACAAAGCCCTCGGACAAAACCTAGAAAGTCAACGGTTGGAACATTATTTGCAGTTGGAGGAATGGATTCAACAAAAGGTATTAAATAATCTTTTGCAGGGGGAACAGAGCAGAGGGGGGGAAGGAATTTTAATTAGTAACACACATGGCCAAAAAGCTCTTTAGAGGAATGGCTGGTTCCAGGACTGGAAAAATACCAGGTAGTTGCAGAACCTCTTATAGTGCCAAAAAGTAAGGAAGTGCTCAAAGAATAATAGAGACAGTTCAAGGGACAGAAGAGGCCATTTGTACGCACAACCACTGTCCAAATCTGGGATAATTTCAACACCAAAATAAATAATGATAAAAGAGGATCATTTATTAAATCAGTAAGTATTCATGAGTCCACACTGCTACAAATAAAGACAGGGCAGTGCATCAGCTTGATTTTCTTCTGCTGTAAGGGACATAATAGGAACAAACAATAAGATCCAAAATAAAGTCTGTAGATTAAATAACAGCACTGTATAAATGTTAATTTCCAGATTTTGATGATTGTTTTGTGGTTTCGTAACAGGGTTTCTTGTTTTGAGAAAGATACACTGAAGTATTTAGGATACAAGGGCATCATTTCTACAACTTAATCTTAGTTCCGGGGGAGAAAAGTATACATACCATATACATTGAAAGCAAATGTAAAACATCCACATTTGGAAAATCTGGGCCAAGGGTCTCTGGGAATTCTTTGTACTGTTCTTGCAACAGTTGTTACTAATAACAATAATAGTAATAAAACACCATATATAGTTCCTACTCAGTGCCAAGTAGTGTGCTAGAAGCTTTCTGTGTGTATTCTCTCAGTATACATTGATCTCCCTTCTCTCTGAATTCCTAGTACTAATAGCCTTCCATCCCCTGACAGCACCTCTCTGACTTGGGACTACATCTCTGAGCTCAACTCATTCTACTTCTCCCCTCACTCTTTCTGTTCCAGCCCCACTGGCCTTTAACAAGCCAAACATTATCCCACATCGGGGATATTACATTGCTGTCCCCTCTCACCAGAATGCTCTGTGCCCTGATGTTGGCATGGCTAGCAGATATTATTCACTCAGATCTCCAAACATCAGTTTAACCAAAAAAGATTCCTGTTGGCCAGTCATCACCTGTCTATCACTTTCTAATCTTGTGTGTACCTCTTTGTATCTCATTCCTCTGCTTGTGTTTCTTCATAGCACCTGATCTGTCTACTTCTTTCCTCCCCGCAAGTGAGCTCTGGAAAGCAAGAAACTTGTTTTTTTCAACAATAAATCCCACAGAGCCTAGAACAGTGCCTTGCACATAGACAGCATCAATAAATATTTGCCATATGAATGAAGGTTGTCCTTTGCCATCTCTTGAATTATTTGTAGGACTGAAGCCCTCAATGCATTATTCACATCTAAAGATTTCTTTTCCATGTGATATCCTTAATGGATATAAAAATAGGAGTGCTAATCGAAAGTTTTATTGTAATTTAACTTTTAGCTTCATGGTAACAAAGATATAGATGTAGATATTATTCCATATAACATAATATGGTGCTAAGTATGTATTTATAGATACTTAAGTTCCAAATATAGGCTTGATCACTGAATGGTAGAGAAATATGTAAAGTTAAATAGCTGATGAGAGTCATAGTATAAATATTTGAAATTTCTGGAGAGCCACAGTCCAGGTAATCAATCTGCAAATACTTATTAAGTATTTACTATATGCCTGGAACCGGTGCTCAGCTTTGTAGTCCTTACTAGCACTTCTTCCTCTCCTTCTTGCCTTCTCTTTTTTTTTTTTTAAGATTTTTATTTATTCATGAGAGACAGAGAGAGAGAGGCAGAGGGAGAAGCGGGCTCCCAAGGAGCAGGGAGCCTGATGCGGGACTTGATCCCAGGACCCTGGGCCATCTGAGCCACCCCAGGCACCCCCTGCCTTGGATTTTAAAACCTAGGTTCAAGTATCTATTTTACTAGCTTTAGGGCAATCCTGGGCCCTAAACTTCCAAGGACAATGAGGATGAATATCTGTCTTCAGCTTTATGGGAGATGGAGGTCCTGCCTCTCATCAAAGCTCTTTCGTACAGTGGAAAATTCTCCATGCATAAGAAGGGGTACCCAAAGTAAATAATACATTTCTCTCTCTCTTTCTTGGTTTCTTTCTCTCTCTCTCTCTCTCTTTCTTTCAAATCTTACATTCTGACAATCACCAAGTCTTCTTTCAAATGAGTCTTATTCTTCTAAATTTCCATTGCTACTTTCCAGTTCCTGGTAGCCTCCTATGAGCCTACATCTTTTGATCATGTTCATTTAGTGCGAATAGCATTCCTTGTGTTGTTACTAACATTACTTGTGTTATTATGTTAAGGGCTTCACCTATCATTTTTAATCCCATGTTCATAATAACTCAAAGAGCGGAATGTTGTTATTGCCCTAGGATACCTATACTTAGAAGAGTTAACTGTCTTTCCCAGGAGTACCCAGCTAATTAGTGATGGAATCAGGATTCAAAGCAGGCACTGACTCTGGAGACTACACCCTCTGCCTTATTACCTCTTCTGTTAACATGCCCTACTCTGCTCAGAAACTACAACAGTCTTCATTTCTTAGCACATAAGATGTCAGTTCCTCTTTCTAGTTTCCAAGACTCTGCAATCTGGCCATTATTGCTTGACCAACTTTATTTCTGAGTCTTTCCTAGATGCCAGTTGTTCTCACCTTCTATCTGATTCAAACTATCTTCCCTGGCCTTAACTTACTTTGTACCCAAAGTCTTTATAATGAGCAATTTGCATTAATTGGATGTCAGTCTGATCATTGGGTTCTTGGTCCCTTCATATATCTTAGTATAGGGCCCAACAAATAAGCTGGAAATGTTTCTAAATAGCCACTAAGAAAAAGTTAGAATATATTTCTGCTTATGTTTTTAAAGGTTAATCTTTTAGTATAAGTCAGGGAACTTCTAAGCTTTTATACAGAATTTTGTAATTACTAGAAATTTGTTATTTGGGGATTTTTTTTTTTTTTTTTTTTAAGAATTATGTTTGGTGGGATGCCTGGGTAGCTCAGGTAGTTAAGCGTCTGTCTTCGGCTCAGATCATGATGCCAGGGTCCTGGGATCAAGTCCCACATCGGGCTCCTTGCTCAGCGGAGACCCTGCTTCTCCCTCTGCCTGCCGCTCCCCCTGTTTGTGCATATTTTCCATAACATGTTTCCATCTTAACTAATTACATCTACAAAAACCTCATTTTCAAAATAGTTTATATTCTGAGGTTCTGGGTAAACATGGATTTGGCAGGGGCATTGTTGCTTTGATAACAATATTACCTCCTTTAAAGTTAAATATTATAGGGGCACCTGGGTGGCTCAGGCAGGTAAGTGTCAGACTCTTGATTTTGGCTCAGGTCATGATCTCAGGGTTGTGGGATCGAGCCCCAAGTGGGGCTCAACTAGGAGTCTACTTGGGATTTTCTCTCTTCCTCTGCCCCTCCCAAATAAATAAATAAATAAATAATTTTAAAAATTAAAATTAAATTAAATATTATATAAAGTACCCCATAAAAATATCCATTTTTTTGCAAAAATGTCATAAAAGATTATTCTTTGACTTATTCAGTAATATCATTGTGTTGCAGTTCTTTATATTGTGTCTGCTGTTTATTTAAATTATCTTTCGAGTAATAATGTATTTGCATTGTCATACACATATTCAATGGTTATGAATAAAATTTGAAAAGTGAGTGTTAAAAAGAAAAAGAATTATGTCTGGTGTTAGCAAAGGAAATTTTAGTCACCAATTCCTGGAACTATGATACTGCTTAGTGAACTGGAAGTAAAATAACTTTGAATGAAAAAAAATATTCCTTAAACTCATTAGTGAGGAAAAATGATTAGCATTGCCTTTTTATTTGACAGAAGGAAGACATTTTTAAAGATTAAATTTAGAGTGAATAAAGTATACTATTACATGAAATAGTATGAATAAAATTTCTTTATACCTAAAAATTATAAAGAAAGATTATTCAAGCTCAAAAAATATTTTTGAACAGCTACTAAATACAAGGAACTCTATTTGTTGCTGTGAAGAATACAGAGATTGTGGGACGCCTGGCTGGCTTGGTCCATGGAAAGTGTGGCTCTTGATCTTGGAGTTGTGAGTTCAAGCCCCATGTTGGGTGTAGAGATTACCTAAAAATAAAATCTTAAAAAAAAAAGAATACAAAGATGGAAAAAGACTCTATCCCAAATAACTTAAGAGTTTTGCAGGGTAAATTAAAAAAATAAAAACTGTAACGTATGAGAAAATATATTCTCTCTCTCTATATATATATATAACAAAACTTTCTAAATTTTAGATTATTAATAGTATTAGTGCTCTGATGAACCAATTATAACAAATACTTTAGAATAAATATTTGTCCTGATTTTAATTCTATAAAGATAGCTGTGATTGCATGTTGTGTTAGAAGCTTAGAAAGAGAGAAATAAAATAGATTCTAATTGAACTCTTCATAAATGGAGGTTGGGTTATTTTAGAGGGGTGGGGCTTTTAAATTTTTTTCTCAGTTCATAAAACAAAAGAATTCCTGGAATCTTTTAATTCTTTTTTTTTTAAGAGTTTCTTTATTTATTTGAGAGAGAGTGGGAGGGAGAGGGAGAGTGAATCTGAAGTAGACCCCGTGCTGAGTGCAGAGCCCAGTGCGGGGCTGGATCCCATGACTGTGTGATCATGACCTGACCTGAAACCAAGAGTCAGGCGCTTAACCGACTAAGCCACCCAGGTGCCCCTGGAATCTTCTAATTCTTAAAAAAATATAGACAGGACCAGACAGTTACTCCCAGACTCCCCACACTCATAGTTTCCCAAGTTCATGATCTGCACTCATGCTCTTGTCCTTCTAGGTTGCAATAGAATGTGCATCCCCTCCCTGCTCCTAGGAAGGCCAGCCCCACAGCTGTGTTCTGACACTGCCCTCTCCTGCCTCCTCAGGAACCTCGCTGTTAAGTAGGACCCCTTCAGCTTCTTTCCTCACAACTAGATCCTTCCCATTAGCATGTGAGCAAACT